AGGCAAGAGACAAAAGAGTTTGCTCAAACATTTGTGTAAAAACCCATTTTTGCCAACAGTCCTATATTGGAGAAAACACAATTAAACATGGCCTGCTGTGTTCCTCCACCTCCACACTGTGTTGTCTCTGACTCTGACTCTTGCTATCTCTGAAAAAAAGTTTAATATTTTTATCTGTCATATGTGAAAATTGGTTTATTAAATAGAGGAAGTATACAATATGCATAGCAAATACTATTTACAACACACCTAAAGGTTTACAATATGATGATAACTTTCCATGCTGAACAGTGGTTGAATCTCACTGGTACGAATGAAAGGAAAATTCAACCCTTAGAGGCTTGTCAGATTTTCATGTCCAACCGGCTTGCAAATGTATCTTGTTACTACTCACATACACAGGAAAGAGAAATAAATTCTTACTTGCGAACCCAGTAAACATGCAGCATTTAGAATTGCTTTAAAAGTCCATCAGACAACAGCTGCTTTTTCAGTTCCTGCTGGCAATTTAGTCAATTTTTAAATTTCTGACAACATAGTGCAAACTTTCTCTGTAGGTTCTCTCATTTGGGCAGAGGTCGGTGGAGGGATCATTGAACTGGCCATGGGGGTGACAGGATTCCTGACAGATGGTCCTGAGGAAGCAATTTTATTCAGTTTGTTAACCTCAGCCTGCCAGTTGGGCACTTTCTTTGTTGTCATGTGACGTCGAGCATGTTTGGTGAGGTGGTCGCTACGCATGAAACGTCGATCGCAAACAGGACATATGAACTTCTTTTCTCCGGTGTGAGTTCTGCGGTGTCGTGAAAGCTCGTCTGAGCGTGCAAACTTCTTGTCACAACCTTCCCAGTTACAGTTAAATGGCTTCTCCCCTGCGAAGGGTTTAATTAAAAAAAAAGATTAGGTCACAACTCCAGCCCTTTGCCCAGGTTTTCTTTTTAGAAAGGAATTCTATCACACAATCTAGTGAAAAGATGTCATACTTCAGATCAAGAAGCATAATTTTGATTTCTTCAGATCCATTTAAAATTGACTAATCTCCCAATATTCACAGGCAGCAAAAAAACACATCAGCAATAGGTGCATATGCATTGTTGGTATGTGATGGTGCTCCTCCAGATCAAGAATAGTTCTCAGAGCTAAAGGGATCAAAGGCTATGAGGAGAAAGCAGGAACAGGGTACTGAGTTGCATGATCAGCTGTGACCATACTGAATGGCAAAGATGGCTCAAGGGTCAAATGGCCTGCTTTTGCTCCTATTTTATATGTTTCTATCCGAAACGCCTTTGCAGATGAACAATAACCGAGGAATGTTGGAGATTAAAACTATGGGTAAACTTTTATCATTTTAGGGAGAAAGTATAATATGTTTATTTGCTTATCTTGTTTCTAATATTTATAGAACTAAGTACCTAACCTGATTAGATATAAAACAGTAACTGGAAGCAGTGAACAATTTAATATTTAATATTTTAGTCTTTGAAGTATTTGATTCTTGTTAGACTATCAGAAAATTGATATGGCAACATTGACTGAAAGCAACTATCAAACATATTTGATATATAACATTTTACATATAATTTTATATTCTATGTAAAATTTTTACATTTTTGAATAAAGCATAATTTTTTTCTCTTCCAACCTACATAGTTGTTAAATTCTACATTTAATTTGATATGCCAAATGTATGGCCCTGAGTTACATTTTTAAATGTATTCAAACACTGACCCTTAAAAATGATCTAATTTGCTTTTAACATCAGTTTACATAATAGAAGTAAGAACTACATGTTAAAAGAAATGGAAATAAAAATGTTCAATTTTTCAGGTTAAAGAATGCATCGTAAGGTTTACATTTAACTATCTGTATCATGAGTTTCACTTTTCATGATGTTCATTTGATTTAAGTCTAGGGGATTTCCAAATATGCTGTAACAGCAATGTCATCAAGCAGGGACAATGGTTAATCACATTAAAGAATCTTTACAGTTAGTAAAGCATGAAGTAAAATGCACGGATCTTTCTAACTTTACATTTTACAGAGCATGGAAAGAAAAACTTTTAAATGATCATAACGTAGAAATTTGACATTACATTAATATAACTTAGTTTTTTCAACAACGCAGAGATTGCTCAATAGCAGTATGACTAGGTGTACTATTAAAAACTCAGTTAGACCTGATTCAGCAACACATTACTTATAAATAAATCCTGAGAAAGTTATGTTACACAATAAATGTGGAAGGTCGCATTAATTCTAAAATTTGCTACCTGGAGGGACATCAACAATGCACTTTGTGAAGGAGGAGAATTAGCTGACAACAACTCTAGATTTCCACATTAAACTGTGCATGCAGAGGTGCCAGAAGTTGTGATGACAGTGAATGCTGACAATTTCAACATTACTACAATTGCAATATCATGCTCAATGCTCAACCTTATGCTCAAATTAAGGTATACCTGTGTGAGTTCGGAGATGTGCTTTTAAGTGCGAACTTTTGAAGTAGGTCTTCCTGCATCCAGTAAAGCTGCAAATGTAATTGCGTCTTCGCGAGAAATCCATCTGAGGTACACAGTTTTGGCCTGACGAGACAAAGACTGGAGCGGGTGCAAGTGGCAGTAACTTTGTGTTGCCGACTGTCATTACTGTCTGTTGACCTGAAGATGGTTGAGTGACAGAGGGTTGGGGTAGCACAAACATCACAGCCCCTGGTTGCATGGTTGTTCCCACTAAAACAGGTTGAGAAGCTGGAGCCATCTGGGTAACTGCAGGCTTTACACAGGCTTTGGCCTGCGTTTGGATGAATGTTGAAATAACATGCCCTCCCCCTCTTCCTTGTCCTCCTCCATTCACTGGAAACATTTGACAAATAACTGGAGAGTTTGTCACAGGTATAGATGGTAAGTGTGTTGGCAATGACTTGGCTAATTTCTGATGTTCAGTATCAACTTTGTTTGGTGCACAAGGCAGAATTAAGGATGGCACTATTTGTTGTTGGTCCTTGATAACTGGGCCATTGAAATTCTGCTGCAAACAGCATTTACTTGTAAACTCTGTCGAAGTGCATGTGTCCTTCGTGTGCTTACAGCGGCTTGATAATTTTCCTTTCACTTCTGTCCTAACATTTTGGCTGTTTGAGTCTAGTCTTTCAGTCAGAGGTGATGAAGGAATGTGGTTGCAGGGAGAATTGTCAGCAGTGTGACGGATGACACTGGTGGCTACTGACCTGCAATGATTTGGAACAGTTGGCTCAGCTGATGGAGGTTTCTTAGATGAAAACTCCTGAATGTTCACTAAGGCAGGCTTTCCAATCATGGTGTTGACTGAATATACTCCGGTGTTTGCAGTGACTGTGGTTGGCTTCGTGTAAGTAAGTTGCGTCACCGAGGCAGCATTACCTGATTCAACGACACCAGGACTGTGCGGTGGGGTCATACACTGTAAGGACAAGAGAAACTTTAAGTTCAGGTTGAAGTTGGAGCAGGGTTAATAATGTTATTTTCCTCATCCATAACACATACAAACACTTTCTTGTTCTTTTATAATCCTTGATTGTAAATACATTGTGCCAAAACATAGAATTACATAGCACGTTTACAAAGTCTTTAATTTAATCATTGTCAAGACTAACATACTTGTCTTTGACTCCATTATTATCAGCAGTAATTGCTTAGAAAAACTGCACACTTACAAGTAAAGACAATGAGTGGTAGTCCTTCTGCAACATAGGAGGTACAGCTTCACAGTGCACAGAATCTGTGTCTGAAGCAGGTGTCAAGGGGCGAATTTTTAAGGGATCCCCTTTTTGTGTCCTTTGACCCCAGGAACTCATGCAAACAAGAGCCTCTACAGCTTCGATATCATTCTGTTCCAACGTACTGCCAGAGGACCTTTCGCTGTCATGACGTTTCCTTTCTAATATTGACTCATAAATTCCCATGATTTCAACCTAGAAGCAAAAAAAAGGTCAATTTTAAAATAAAACCCAACCAGAACTTACAGTCCGTTATGATGAACCTTAAATACGGCGAAGGATCACCATTTCTGCATCAGATGTGCAATTCCAACAGAAAAGAAAATCCCAAGGGGCTTCACATGGTGTAATTTAGGTCTCCATGGCCCTTAAAATTTGTCAGAAGATTAACAGAAAAAGTCTATTATGCTAAAAATGTAAACTGCATTTATAAACATCAGTTTAATCTGAAACTGCAGCGCAGAGAAAAAGCATACAAAAGGGTAAAATAGGAATTTTGACTTATTTTTAAACATGACTAATTCAACCAAATGTTTTAATATTAATTATTGCGATTCTTAGCTAATGGACATTCCAGACCAAAGGTGACAGCACCAATCTATTGGTTGTAGCACCATTCACGAAAGGGCACTGGAGGCAAGCTGGACCCAGTGATCCTGTTCGCCTCCCTCCCCAAATATAGAACTGCTTGCGTCATCGATTAAGCAGCCATGTGAAGTCTGCATGTCTCCAAAGCTTCTACCAGGAAGTCCCCTCCTACAACATTTCTTTGTCCAAGAAAACAAACTCAGAGACTGGTCTAAGCTTCATATGGGATCCAATTTTGCCTACATTCCTTCTAGACGGTACCACGACACCACTCTCTTCTGAATGGAAAACTGATGTGTTTTATTTAGTAAAATGCTGTATGATGCTACATTCATTGAATTTGAAAGGATGCTTCGTTATTCGTTGTACATTCAGGTCGGCAAAACGTCTTGTTCTCGGGCATGAGAGAAATACCGGTTGCACCACAGGACAGAATGCAACAAATTTATCTGTCTTCCCAATGGCTAATACAATACAATCAGCATTATACAACGTAAACCCCAAAGCAGCGCTCCTTGGCCATGTCAACGCCTTTTCTATTCTTTTCCTATCGGTTTTGACATCTTTCTTTCATCCTCACCAATAGGTGACAGAAAGACTTAAGATTCCCAGAGCAACATTTCATTAATTTATAAATTCCTTGCAGCACATTAATATACTTACATTGCGTGGGTCTCCCATTTCTGCAGCTTGATATGGAGAATTACACCGCATCTTACTTTTTGAAGAAGAAATGTCTCCAATGAAAACGGTGTATTTCCGGGATGGGGGGGAGAGAGAACTCACAAATAACACCAAGATCAGTTTTACAGAGAGGCGAACATAGCGACCCAGTTGCAATGACCACAACCGAACAGCACACACCAGAAATTACATTACAGCTGGCGGTCGGGCAGGCACGGGCGGCTACCACCAATGGGAGACAAAGGCGTGGCCAACATCGACCAATGGGGGCGCAGGGGGCGCGTGATCAGGGGCTGATGTCTGGCGTGGGCCCCCGCAGTCTGCGGCGTGATTGGCGGGCGAGCTATCCCGCCCCACCCCTTCGGCCCCGCCCCTCCACCACCTCCTCGGACGCACACATACACACAGTGTGCTCACCCAGGTCCGCCCCCTCCGTCAACTGGGCCTGACAGTCAGCGGCGTGATTGGCAGAGGCGGGGCCACGCCCTCCCAACCACACTGCCCCGCCCCCTCCGCTGTTGACACTCAGCGGGGTGCCTCCCCTTCTACAACGGTCTCAGCTGGGTCAGACAGTGGGCAGCGTGATTGGCAGGCGGTGTCCTCAGTCCCCCGAACCCACAAAGGCCGCGCCCCCTTCTCCAAACATATACACACACACAGACTCACGCCCCCACCCAGGCCCCGCCCTCTTCAGACATTGTCAGCGGCGTGACTGATGGCTGGCCCCGCCCAATGAACGTCGGCATACATACACGCTGTGCTCACCCAGGTCCGCCCCCATGATACTCAGTCGGGTCAATGTAAACCCATTGAACTCAGAGCCGCAAACTAGGGCAAAGGTGAGGTCGTGCCGGATCTGTGCTGCAGCCGCGACTCTGCAAACGTCAACGAGAAAGGGGGGGGGGTGGAGAAGGAAAACAGCCAGCCATCTGGAACTCACTCTCTCTCTCTCTGAAAGCATCAAGTCAGCAAATGTAGCCTCTTATAATTCAGCTTTGCTAAAAGCTGCTGTACTCGAAGGAGCTGACATGTACATATTTTAAGGAGCGCCTATTTCCTGCTCAACTGATTGAGGCTGCCTTTGTTTTTTTATTGACAAACTCCCGCCGGATATGCTGTTTTCCTTTGCAAATCTTAACGTCTCGATGCTCTTTCGATGTTCCAGGATAATTAGCTTTCCTTTCTCTTCTTCTTTACTAATCTTGACAACACAGGCTTCTAAAGCTGAGGATATGGCCTAAACATCAGATTCAAACATTTCAGAAGTGAAGAAAATCTTTCTCTATGTAAAAGAAGTTTGAAACTGTTCCTGCAAATTGTCGTTGACGCTGGGTTAATTGCTAACTTTAATTTAAGATTAATATATTTGCTAACCATGTTAACGTAGGGCAACGGTACGGATTTTAGAGTGACCATACTTTCTGAACCAAATTCAGGGACACAGTCCAAGTTGCAGTTATTCTATCTGAGGCCACTGAGCTTGCTAGGAGTCTACTGTCAGGTAATTCACACTCAGCTCTAGTTTCTGTTATGTAGTCTGGTTAGCAACAACTTTTTACCTCGGACGTTTTGGCTCTGTATCCTATCTCTCTCTTCCAAATTTTGCAGGAATTCTGTGCTCAACCTGGGATGTATCTGGGATTTTTGAGGGGAGGAGCTGATGTAGAGCATGCCTAATACTCGAGTGCACTATTGAGGGGGTGCTACACTTTCAAATAGAAAGTAAAATGAGGCCTGGTCTGTATCTCTGGTGGACGTTACAAGTTCAAAAGCACTTGCCAAAGAGCAGAGTGTTTCATTTAACCCGTCAATGTGTAAGTACTTGTTCAGAACATAGGTGGTCTCCACTGTAACTCAGTTTAGCTGTCTTAGCTCCATATCCAGTGACACACTTACCTAACAAAAATTAGTTTCAGACTCAGGAACTTCAATTGCCCCAACATCCATAGCCTTTTTATGGGAGAAAGTTTCAGATATCCACCAGCCTTTGGCTTATCAGATAAACGTGTGACGGATAAGTCCATGTTTCTGAATGAGTAAAGGTGCTGAGCTCAGCCAGGCCCCCTCTTCACATTGATGGAAGACTGGTGTGAATTTATCTAACATGGAAAATTAGCACTTCTTTTAAATTTCACATATTGAACCCTAACTACAGAATTTGTGCTTTGTTTGCAATTGTATCATTGATTTACACTGAAGAAGAGTGAAGCATCTAAATATCTTTGAGAAGTTAAATAGTAATGTTAGAAAATAAATGAATGAATAAAATATCAAGCTAAATCATCATGGATCTTATTATTAAATCAATCATTGTGTAACAGCTCCCAGCATTGTATCTGGAGATATAGTTTACAGCATTTGGGAGACAGATTGACATCCTTTGAGAACATGTTATATTCTTTTACGTATAATTATTTTAAATGTCTATTTGAGAACTGACATCTCCTGCATTATTCTGTAAAAGGTACAAAGATTATATCTTTTCACTTTAAAATGATCACGAGATTTTAATTATTATTAACTTGGCTGACATTTTCACAGCAACACTGGATTAGTGCCAAGTAATGACCATCTCCAAAAGAGAATCTAACAATTTTCCTTTGAAATTCAGTGGCATTTCCATGGCCAAATGTCCCAGGATCAATATCTTGGAGGTTACCATTATCCAGTAATCAAATTGCAGTAGAGATATAAATACTATGGTTACCAGAGCAGGTCAAAGGCTGGGAATTCTGCAGCATGTACTTGCCTTCTGACGCTACAAATCATGTCCCCTGTCTACAAGGCACAAATCAGAAATGATGGAATACTGCACATTTAGCTGGATGGGGAGAGCTCCAATAACACTCGAATCTTGGCACCATCCAGGTCAATGTAGCCTGCTCAATCAGCAGTCCATTCACCGTCTTCCACATTTGCTCCCTTTACCACCACTGCACAGTGGCAGCAATGTGTGCTATCTACAAGATGCACTGCAGTAACTCACCAAGCCTCCATCTGCACACTTTTCAAGTTGTGACCTCTACCACCTGGAAGAACAACAGCGACAGACACGTGGACAACTACTGCCTGCCAGCTCTGGTTCATTCTTACTTTGAACTATATCAGTATTCCTTCACTGCTGCTAGGTTAAAATCTTGGAACTCCATTCCTAATAGTATTGTGAATGTCTTTACATCACAGTTCCCCCACCCCCTATCCTTCACAAGAGCAATTTGGAATAGGCAACAACTACTGGTCTTGCTGACAAAATTCTCGTCTCAACAAGAAAAAACTAAAAGAGATGATTGGAGTATCAAATATGTTACAGTTCTGGCACTGATATTCAGGGTTAACCGAAGTTGGGAACAGAGTTTGGAGAGCCAAAAATACCAATGATGGGCAGTGTGTCAGTTTCAGGATATCATCACCAGTATTGGTAGGAATTCCGGTGTCCTCCCAACTGAGGTCAATCAAATAGTTTAAAAGTTTGTTGTCAAGGTTTGAGTTCAGAAACAGATCACCTGAAGGTAGACAGGTAGATAATTGGGTGAGAGTCATAACTGTCCCAAGACATGACATTGGATCCATTATTGAATCAACAGGACATCAGGATCTCCACACTTGGTGAGAGAGTTGCCTGCAAATTAATCAGCTTAAGATAAACAGTGAAACCAGACATGGGAATGCTCAGAAGAACTGAATGCACAGGTGACAGGAATGTGGGCACTCAGAACCTGGATGTTGAATAGGTCAGTACCCAGCTCCTTATCATAGAATATGATGATTTGGGGATCTGGTTGCCAAAGCGCTCCACCTGTTCAGAATAAACGTTCCAGTTTGTAATGTGGAGAAGAGTCAAATTTTGTACTCAGTGCTAGTGAGGGGCATCATTCTGCAAGCAGGTAAAGCTCAGCAGCAGGAAGGCTCAGAAGAGGAAAGAGAAGCAGGAAGTTATTGAAAGCTTAGCCCTCAACATAGAAGATAGATTTTCCTGGAGAATCAGTGCAGCAGGAGATGTGATTCTTTGTGCAGCTGGTCACAGACATCTGTGATCTCATTGTCAATGATCCCTCACCTGGCAGCACTGGTCACTATGTTCTCCATTATGCTCAAAGTCACTGTGGCAATGAAGATCTTTGCTTCGGGCTCCTTCTAAGGATCAGCTACGACCTTTGTGGTGTCTCATAAGCATGAACTGTATCAATTCTAGAAGGTGGTTTACCACCACCTTCTCATGGATCACTGAGAATGGGAATAAATTCTCGCCTAGCCATTGACTCCCTTGTCTCATGAACAAATGACTTTTAAAAATAAGTGACTACACACCATTACATCTCATTCATCACTGATGTCCTGTTTTCTACAGCTAGGAAGCACTTTCTGTTATTAATAGACAGGCTCACTAGGACAGAGGATATCGGGTTTCTCCCATGTCTCTGGGTTCCACCAGTACATGGTATCATCAGTTGCACAAAGATGACTGTCAAGGCACCAGTGACTAGTCAGTGAAATCTAGCAGCAAAAAGGAATTTCACTCCCTCAATATCCAACCGTTTGCAACCACAAGTTTCTTCCATGTGAGTGGTCACTTTCTTGGCAGGTCACATTACTCCTTCGTCCCCCATCAGTACATGTGGCTTCAGAGTTTCTCTCTAACCCCCAATTATATATGGATGGATCCTCGGGAGCAGGGGATATCCCTTGAAGAAATGATACTGAAACCCTGGACAGGAGCCCCAAATAAATGAGATAACCAATTTCACTTATTCAGTTGGAAAATCATTGAGAAGGCCACAGGGCTCCTGTATCAGTTAGCTGGTGCCTTCCTGCATGGGTCTTGGTCATTATGGTTGTCTGCTGTACTCTCCATAGAATGCCCTCCAGAGATATGAGGCATTAATGACATTGAGGTCTGTATGATTGAGGTAAAATGAACTAACAATTTTCAACTTCCTTCATCTCTTATTAACATCTCAGACCTTTCATGATTGAACTGATTTGAAGGGAAAGGTACTGACTTAAGGTGTTCACAGTGGTCACCTGACCAGGTTAAGCAAAGCTCATGAAACCATGAATAAGACCCAGTTTAAAGTAAAATTAACATATCATCACAATTGCTTTTAATTTATGGAAGTCACATTGTTTCACAGGAAAGTTGCCAGCAGATTTTCCAGTTTGGAAATAAGCAACAAAACCAAACAGGTGAATGCACAAAGGAAC